TCGCATTCAGTCGTTGTTGTTTTCAAGAGTTTCGGGTGAAAGATTAGTCATTCCCCCACCCGTCGATGGAGAAAATTCACATTTGAAAATTATATGCAATAAAAAAATTAAGCGTCATACCTAAATTTCGCGCCACACATACATACCTACTGGGGTGATTGACTCGGTTTTTTTAAACCGTTTTCCACCGTATTTTTTTTTTTTTTGGAAATCTATGTACATAGAAGCGGTTTTTTTTTAATCTTGATTTTTCGAATATCCAATAAACTGGATTTTTTAATCGAACAAACCGTTTTTTATTCATTTCATCCAAATTTTGACTTGTCAATAAATATTTTAGGTTTTCCGAAGTATTGCATAGCATTTTAATTTGAAATGTAGAAAATTACCACTGACACGTCTTAACAGATAATAATTGAAATTTCAAATTGCGTTTGGTCGAAGGCGGAAATTTAGAAGTAGCATCCGGTGCCCACGGATTTTCAAGTACATGGTTTATTATTCTCCTTATCGCTTAGTTTACGGCGACAAACATTTGACACATCATTAAGCGGAACCTGCAAAGACGTAAATATGTAATTCTGTCGCAGGGAATGTAAAACTTGATTTTCGGGACGCAGAGGTCTGTCCGCATTTTTAAAACAATTGTGGTCAAAAATTTTTAATACTTCCAGAAGCGACCATTTTTAAGCCTTGATCAAACTACTCCTATTCGTTAGTATTCATACATTGTAGTAAAATTCCAATAGGAATTTGCTCTATCTAATCATTACATACTGGGAACTGTGGGAATCGGTGGCTTACTCTGAAATCAGGTGCACTGGGGTCCTCAGCGTCGGATCGTTTTAATTTTCTCGCTACTTGATACTCCTCGGGTGAATTTTCGGCTGTCACTTTAGTTTGTGCAAAGGGCCGGTTATTCAATGTCCTCAAAACCCCTACCTGCGTTCACGGATCATGTTAAAGAATGAACTATAAAATACTAACCAAAATTAAATAACAACAAAAATAATATTTAAAACTTGTGAAAATTTGGTGCGGCTATAATTTTTTCGACTACAGTACATTAGACTGCATCACCAAAAAAGTTGCGGTTTTTCCGGCGGGATTACCAAACCTAGTATATTTTAAGACTTCTACCAAAATATTTTGGAAAAATATTAAGATTAATGTGAGCTGGACCGCTTAGAAAATGCCTCTAAAAATGGATTTTTTTATATATGAAAATAGTTTCGTAAAGGATTTTTTGGAAAAAATCCCTTTAGATGACAAAACAGTTTAAGCTTAAAAATCATAAAAATATTAAAAAATTGTATCAACGGAGTCAAAATAATGAGATTTTTGATGCTGTTTTTTTTAACTTTTTTCAAAGATTTGTGTAAGAAAAACTTGAATGACTGCTCCAAATCTTTACCGATATAGACATATGAGGTATCAGTAGAAAGGTATTTATTTTCTCACCCTCTTTATTTGTTTGCAAAAAAACTCATTCACGTTGAGGAATGCCTGGTCTAAACTGACTGTGTGGAATGCCTGGTCTAAACTCATTGTCAGGCACTCCCTAGTAACCTCAGGGAACTCAGCATTATAGACACAAATGCTCAAATCTCTGCCGCCAGCAATTTCCGCCTCGCCTCACTTAGTTTCTTTTTAGTCTGCAGATGGCCTTTAAGGCTTCCCCACGTATGAAGACACAAAGTGACGGTAAGTGCAGCAGTGCGTCAAGAGCACTATACACAAAAATTAAAGTTAAAACAAAAATTAAAAAAAAAATTTAAGTTAAATAAAGAGGCTATCAAGCAACCATTTTGGTTATTTACTATCGAAACCAGGTTTTTCGTGGATGGTCAGACTTACAACTCGTGGACCCCCATATTTTTTTAGCGCCAACGTAGATCACCGCTCTAAAGGGTTTATTTGCAATTTTCGGGAATACACCGGACATATTAGGATGTTCACGATTTGTGGCATTTTAGATGTAAATTTGCTACGTATTATAATTTTTAAGCACTACTTATTCTAGCTAGTCCAGCTTTGAATGCCGATAAATAATAATTTATTTTCCGCGATTACTTACCCCCTCAATTTCCTTATCGAATCGAACCGGCCGTAACCGACACAGCACAATAATCAGGTAAATAAAATTGACCACGAAAAATAGTCCAGACCAAAGTACTACATCGGGTTTACACTCCACCAGGTAGCCATACATTGCCATCAGTGTGCACCCGATGAGAATGAGCGCGCGTAACCACAGTGCGCCGAAAGGTCCGTGTGGCGCCAGAAATGCCAGTAAAAAGAAGGCATTTCCCAATTGGAAATAAAGATGATGAGGTCTTTGCCAAATCACGCATTGTTCAATCGACCAATCGCCTGGATTAAGTGACCGAAGAGTACCATTGTTGTCCCATGTGATGGTGCCACTACCCGCACTGCTCCCAACCGATGTTGTTGTATGCGCTATGGAAGTGCCACTAACGGTCCCTGCTGTCAGAGCGTTCACTTGGGAACTCTCTAACTCCCCATTTGCTGTGGCTGCCATGGGCATCGCGCCACCGCCTATCACAGTATCCACATCATCCGCAGCGACCGCTGTATTTATCGCCACTGTAGTAGCTGCAGCTACCGCCGTTGTCGCCAAATTAAATACACCCAAGTGAATGCCCACATTATAATTTGTCGTGTCCACCAAGCCTAGTGCGAGCGCACTTATGAGCAACATCTTTTATTTATGCTCTTCGTGGATATCAAGCTGGAATTATGCGAAATAACTCTGAATCATTTGGATGAAACGCCTAAATGGTGTTTCGGTGAAGATATGAAATTTAAAATAGCTTTCATCGCTTTGTTAATTATCACGTTAATGTTGCTCTTATCGTAACTGTTTTTTAATCGAATTGTCGTTGTTTTTGTTTAAGAATATATCAACATGTTGCATAGGAGAAAGGCGTGGTTTTAACTGGCGTTTTCTGAAAAAAGAAAGATAAGAACACAATATGTATAATGTTTTTGAAAATTTAAATCAACGGTCAACTTAACATACTTAACTTAGCATATAAATTGACTTGCCGTCAGGGATGTATATATAATAAAATTCTGTAAGCTATTTCTTTGTACAACATTTAACTCCTTAATTCCTACGATAAGGGATAGTTCTTCGATGTAAGATCATTAAAAATGGCAGTTAAGGGATGAAAATATTCTTATAGATCTTTAAACAAAGTTTGTCATAAATGTATGAGGGTTAAACTGACAAATAGTGGTGTATTTTCGACCCTTATTTAAAGAAGTTTATTAAAAATGGCAGTTGGACGGTTAACAAATTCTACAAGTATCCAGTAGAGGATTTTACGAAAGCCCACTAAAGAAACTATCCGTATATTCGGATATCCAGATATCCGTTCAGATAAAATAAAAAATAACATCCGGATATCCGGTTCTACACAATATTTGCCGGAATTCATTGCAAAATAAATAATATTATACTTCATTAATCATTCAAATATCCGAGTATCTAGATATATTTACTCTATTCGGATATCCGAATATCGATACACTATTCGAATATCTTAACAAACCGGATTTTTGTCTTCAGATATTCGACTACTTGAATATCCGGATTATATGGATATCCAAAAAATTCCCAAACCTAAGACAAACGTATTTATTTATTATAACGCACGGAGTCGGTTTCTTATTAATCGCATTTTCACACATGCATTCGAATGCAAATTTCGTGGACTCAATGAATGACCCGTTGTCAGTGAAATTTCTCGTTAACGACGATTTTTTAGCCGTTTGAAACTTGCACTTCATTAGACAAAAATTGTATGGGTTATAAAACAGCATACCCAAAAAATCTTCTAAAAATTCGGAATAAAAAGTTGAAATTTTGATGAAAATTTTCTGAATTTTCTCTTACATTTTGTATAAAGTTTGAAACTGTGATTTACAAGGTTTTGGTTAAAGCTTAGACGATATTTTTCTATAAAAATAACAAAAAAAAAGTTATCTCGAAAAACATTACGAATATTTGAAGAAAATCAACACGTGGTCATTTGTTTGAGTCACAGTATATGTATGCATGTATGTATAGAGTATTACCCTCGAACAATTAGTAGATTTTAAAGTTGATAAATGTAACAACGATGACATAAAAGGCAACACTGTGGCATATTAAAGTACGAGTATTTTGAGTAATATGCGGAGGTTGTAACCATGAAATACATTTGTATGTAAGTATATAGATGTGGGTGTTGAAAAAAAAGCTCTTTAATTAAATATGGACATATATGTAATATATGTGGTGTATCGGTAAGCAATGCGCGCTTTTACTCCGCTGCGCCTCGGTTCAAGCCCTGGGCAAAGCAACATCAAAAAAAAAATATATAGAAAAAAAGGTTTTTCTTGACAGCGGTTATCCCTCGGCAGGCAATGGCAAACCTTCGAGTGTATTTCTGCCATGAAAAACAGCTTCTCATTAAAATACAATCGCCCCTCGGAGTCGGCGTAAAACTGTAGGTCTCACCGCTTTGTGTGACAACATCAAGCGGCACGCCACAAATCGGAGGAGAAGCTCGGCCAATCACTAACATATGGGGAATAACCGTTTTGCAGCTTTCGTGCTTTGCAGTGGGTAAGAGCTTTCACTGTCGAAATAACATAGGATTAAGAACACATTAGACGTACCACCCTGTACTAGGGGAAAATGAATTTTTCCGTAGAACTGCTATAGAACTGTTAAAAATAGATATTTTTTGATGAAATAACAGTATTCTTCCTCTTCACACATCTCCAACAAATAAAATTATAATGCATATTTAACTTTATAATTTTACTAACTACTATTTCATATTGGAGAAAGTTCATTTCAACTTGGTTATTTAAGAAATTTACTGTACCTATTCAAGTGCACTGAAGTGTAATTACTCAAAATTATGTATATCGCTTATGAGTGGCCATAAGCATATGCATACGGCCAAATATGGAAGTAACAATGCCTTTTGACAGTGAATAAATGATGTCATCGGTTAGATTTGGAGACAATGCAGATTGTTAGCAGCATCCATTAGCTATCGATTGGATTTCTACTTAGTCGTACACACACATTTGAACATTAAATTTAAAATTAATGCATACATACATACATACATATGTACATATATCACAGCAGTTTCTGGTGCCAATGGTGAGATGTTACTTAAAATTGACGAATTTTCATGTCTTTACCATGCAAAGCTAGATACTCTCTAAAGACCAAATCGTGAAAAGGATCTGAACAAAATTCCGCGTTGCAATTAGGGTCGCGTGCGTGTCGAAACAATTGTTTTGAAAAATAAACATTTTAAGCGTCAAAAAGGTTGTTTGTTTTAACTGATTTTAGTATGTTAACGTATCAGTCACTTAGCAATCAAAATAAACTTGTTTAATAACAATAAGAAGCACTTTATGAATTACTAGGGGCAACTTGTAATTTCGGCTCATTGTGAAAATTAAACAACTATCGATGGACATTTTTATATCCCGGGGTTGTCATAACGGCGGTTACATTCAGTGTTGCTACAACGATTTTTTTATTTGTTACTAAAACTGCCAGAAAAAGTTACCACATTCAACAAGAAATTAGGAAATTTATATCAAGTGCAGAACTATACATATTTACATAGGGTGCATCACTCTTCATACAAAACAAAAATAGGTACTAAAATTTATTCATATTTTAATGGCAGTCTTTTTTATTTTTTTGAATTTGGGTGTTAAGCTTTTGTTAAAATAGTTCGGAAATATATGAAGATTTAAGTGAGCGAGACCGATTTGGAAATACCTCTTTATTTTGATTCAGTTGACAACATTTTTAAACATTTGTATGCAGACCTTTTAAGCTAGAACTTTTCTATTATCTGTGTTAATTATTTTGGAAAAGAATTTATAAAATAATTTTTTTTATAAAAACTTTATTTTAGGCGGTATTTTAAAATCAATCCAGCTCACGTAAATCTTATAACTTACACTAAACCAAAAATCCATCTCTGTATAAAGAAAAGTTTTCCTTACTTTAAGGTCGAAAATTCTTCCGAATGAGTAAAAAATTCTCCCGAATGAGTAATTTTTTTTTGGAATGTGTAAAAACGTACACGAAAATATGGAACTGTGGATGTAACCTATCATTTTGAAGAAATGTTGGGCATGAAAAGAGTATAAAACTTATTTAATGCTATTTCGTTCCCATTTTTCTTCATTTTGATTGCTGTTTTTTTTTTTTGAGTGTAGTATCTTTTATAATTCTGATGGAGAAAGAGTAGTGATTTTTTTTTATAGAGAGTGATTAACCCTAATCTACAAATGTGTATTTTTCAAATTTACTATACTTGTTATATATGTATAAACAAATCTAATACTGATTATAATATTTAACTTTTAAATTTTGAAATACGGAATGAAATAAATTAAGGCTCTCGTACATTAACTGCATGTACATATGTAAATTAAAAAAAGAAAATAGTAATAATTTTGCCCTTAAATTGCTTTTGTGAAACTGACTATAAGTATAAAATATGTTAATAGTAAAAACATATTTTTAAAACAGGTTTTCATGTGAACCAAATCGGACCATAAATACGAGTTGCCCAAATATATCTACTCCTGTGCCACCTATCGGCCAAATTTTCTAAGTAATAGTATACAATAGTATATTCTAAATATGAACCATATCAGACCTAAATACCTACTATTTTTCCAAATGTCTCGACTCTTACACCACCTAGCGGATTATTTCATCTTTCGTATTGAATTTTCATCCGGTTAGGAACCAAGTTTGAAGATTCAAGTCTCAAGTAAAATACGACTTAAATTCAGTTTAGAAATGTCTAAGCTTTCTCTACAGGGCATGTAATTTGTATCGTTTAGTATTTATTGTGTTTTTATCCAGCCGCATTTGCACCGCACCTACCGCTTTTATTTTAGTCAGCTGATACCGTATTGCCGACGCATGCCATCAGCAACTGCCTCATGTTGCACCCAACGTTTTACCACCGCCTTCCCTGTTGTTGTTAGGTCTTCTACTGTCGGCCTCAACGTTACCTAATTCGATTTTTCACAAATTGCCATCGTACATACATACATATAATATTAACTGCGTGTATGTATGTACATACATATGTACAATGTTGGTCGCTGTTTATTCGGCACAGTAACGGAGATTTACATATATGTATCAGGTATATTTATAATTATACATAGATAGTTTTAAATTAACAATAATTAATGATTAATAATAAGCGATTTGTGTAACCTTTCTCAGAAATGATTATCTCACTTTTTCGACGTTTTAAAACGCATAAGTCACTCCTGTACATATATTTCTGTGATATTCCAATTGTATGTTATTTAGGTGGTTTCTTTCTTTTGGATTTATTTAAACAAATTGTTTGCACATTACAAATATTTTTTTTTTTTATAAATACTCGTAGTTATATACCGATGTTGTTCACTTGTACAGATCGAGCAATACCGCTTCGGTCAAATAATAGATGTACATATGTATGTATGTATGTAAGTTGACATTTTCCTCACGCATGTGCTCGAATTGTTGAATTCCGTTTTAGCACTTCGTCTCCTATTATTCGTCTCCTATATAACTTTTGAACAAATCTATTTTTTTTTTCTCTCTTTATAACGCCGCAGGGGGTGGTTTTACGCTTCTAATAACTTTCTTATAATCACTTCCTATGTATTTCCCCCAAGTACCAGGCCCTTTAAAACACAATCAATTCTCTTAATTTTTTTCATTTGTTAAAGCCAACAGCCGCTGCCAAAAACATTAGCACTCACTTTTGTTGTAGTCACCGTCACCATTATTGTGCTCGCAATTCTAATAATCATCTACGCTTGCTCGTGTAAAACTCTGCCAAACAATCGAAGCAATTTTTTCACATTTTTTTAACAACTTTACCACCACTACTTTTCATTTTTTTATACATATATGTACATGTTTCATATGTACATACGTATATGTTAAAACATAACTTTTGGATTTCTTCAAAGGGTATACATTTGTAATTACTTAATTCTATTCGATTTTGTAAACTATTAAATTTTAAGAAAATTAGAAACGAAATCTATATATTAGAAGCCCTTCGCATAATATTTAACCGAAATCGCTTGCTCACAATTCGTGAGAAGAAATTTAACTGGTCGCTTGTTTATTGAGAGTCTGTTTGTATGCCCATCTACCACGCAGCAATCTAGCTGGTGCCAGTGTTGCCAGAGAAATGCCCTAAAAATCTGAATTTTTTCCAAAAACATTCTACAAATTAAGATTTTAAAGATGAAAAAATCTTTTCGTTCCCAAAAAATCTAAATTTAAAAATACCCTCGAAGAAACACACAATTCGGTAGTGGCTTTACGGCTGTAAATAGCCTTTATTATGTTGACTGAAAAAATTAACAATTTCAAATTATAGAGTCCCTTTTATTTCATCTTAAAACTAAAAATCAATATTGTCTTCGTGGCATCACAAAATTTGTAGCACAGTTTGCTTTATAAATCACATATGAGGTTTTTACAAATAATACACCTACGCATAAAATACGGACATTGAAAATGCGCGTTTTTTGTTTTTAAACTACTTCAAAAAATTAATATTTTTTATGTAAATATCTGTGTTCGTATAGTATAATGAACCATTCGCAGCTTACCGATATATAATTTTTTTTATCAGAAAGGAGGTGCCTCAAGGGTGGTACCATACTATTTTGAGTTAACGGCGCCTCTAAATTTGAAAATGAGAAGTCAAGTCGGCTGTTTTTTGCTTAAAAATTACTTGGTTTTTGGTTTATTTAATGTTATCCAAAGTCCAAACTTCAATCTTTGTACAAAAGTTAAGAAAATTCGTCAAAGTTTCGTAGCAATTTTAAGCTTTTTAATTCGATTTTCTAGGGATATTGTTTTATAAAGCTTAGCGCTCCTTTCTTATTGTTATACATTTTTGCCATCTAGACTCATCACTAAATATTTCTTAAATGAGTTTTATTGAAATTTTCCATTGTTTGCATACGTTTAACGTAATTATCATAGATAACATATTTCTTTCTTTAACAATTGTAACTTAAACTTACAAAATCTTACATCATACAAAAACATCTTAAAGATATTTTCAGTGTAAAACTTTTCTTTTTAAAAAATCTTTTTTAGAAGATTTTTAATAAAAAACAGCCGAAAAAATCTACATTTTGAAGATAAATCTTTACTTATGGCAACACTGGCTGGCGCACGAAGTGTATATTTACTCCGTTTCCGTCTCCGTACACCGCCTCTGATTTGACAGTGTGGTAAGTTTTAGTGGTGGAAAACCGCCTGTAAATATGTGTTCACTTATATTTGTACGTATATAAATAGCGCACACTATTGCAACCCTGCAGGAAAATGGACAATTTCCGATATGCATTAATAAAATCCAAGGGAGATAATTTTTCAATCTAATATAAATATTATTTTGAAATAAGTGAGCATAGTTAAATTGGTCACAACCAAAACATATTCCATGATAGAAGCTTTCTATGGATTTTGTATGAACACGCACAGTTACAAACGGTTAAGTTTTGAACATCATGTCGTAGTATCAAATTACACAGGTTTACAAATAATTAATGATTTTTTTACCCAAGAACCAAACCATCCAATTCCCATGTAAAACCAATTGCTGAGTCCGACAATCTACATACCTTATTTTTCTGTCATGTGGTTTTCTTGATACCGCCACATAACGATTTTTTAATACAGAAAGCAGAGTCGAGTATAAAAGTGTCTAATAACTGGAAAATTCGCCAACCGAATAAAATAAATGTTATATCACATGAAAGGCAATTAAATTTGCTGTCTTTCGTTTATAAATTATGTTTCATTTAAATTGCACGTTTTCGAGATATTTACAAAGAATTAAAAAAAAAAAATTGTTTACAAAAATTTGAAAATTTTCGATTTCTATTGTAAAACATATATAGGAAAACGACATTCGAAAATTAAGTTTTTACTAATTTCTTAAAACTAGCATGTTAACCAAATATGTACATATACTACATATAAGACATAAATAAAAAAAAATCACAAAAAATTAAAGTTGTTCATATGAGAATTCATTTTGTGATATCATTAGAGGGTTTTCCAAGTAAAGGGTTATATATAAGAGTTATAAATAACATCTTAAAATTTTTTTTTCAAGGAAATCCCTGTTAACATTTTTTTAGAAATGTGTTTTTTAAATATTTTTTTTTTATTGAGAAGCTATTTAATAGTAAAATCCTCTCCAGTCATACAAAGACTACACTCTATAAGTCGTAACTGGACAATGACAACATCGAATGCGGCGACACTTGGGATATTAGACACATAAATTCCGCAGAAGATTTGCAGGTCTTCACACATAGCGAACGGAGACAAACGCTCCAGCTCTGAAAGTACTAATTTCGGGTCCTGTGGATGCTGGCAGAGAAACAGGAAGGCATTCTCAGCAATGGAAGGATCAAATGGAGACGAATGTGACCTCACTTGGCGTATTCAATTGGCTTCAGTTGGCATAAAAGAGAATGCTAATTTTAAAATATTCACAACTCGTCAAATCTTTTGCGATTTAAGTTAAATATATATTCTTACATTGAAACTCAACACTATCTTTCTAATGGACAATCATCTATGCCATGCACGCTGTTCACAAAGCAGTCAAGCAACCAGCTGATTAGTTTCTACAATCCAAAATATTGTGCTTATGTATGTATGTAGTGCATTACGGTGGTCCTTAAAAACAAATGGGTGATTTTTTTCAGTCTTACCCCCTCAATCAGTAATACCACGGTCATAGATATCACACATAAATTTTGGTCGCATTTGGACACGGTTAAGGCGTGTAGCACAGGGGGCAATTTTCAGATTCCTCTATAGAAACTCAAAAAATTTAAATTAATTTTTTTTTTCATCTAATACCCAAAATCGATACTACCTTAGTCGAAGATATCACATATAGTAAGTTTTGGTCCCGACTGCAGTAGCATGGACGTAGGGGCTGAAGCTTAGGAAATCTCATGTAAAAATTTGCTTCCTACATTTAAGGACCACGCTAATAACATATTTATGAACTACATATGTGTATTTACATATCTGCGAACATATCGCTCAGTTACTTCAATAACGTCATAACTCAAAAAAAAACAAGCTCGCGAAAAACGGCTTTAAAGTTTTGAATTTACATATAGGTACTCCCATAGTAAAACTTAACACATATTTTGTTTTAGGGAGACACTAGTAATCGATACAGCATGAAATTTTTACACAACATAGATTTGGATTTTTTGTATTATGACACTATTGAAGTAAATAAAGTATATATGTAAATATACATATTAGATATGGGAAACGCTCTCTTTTGATTCTCTCTCTGCTTTGCAGACATGCATATGCACTTTGCATATAAAAACTTACATACATATGTTTGTATAACTTAAGCATATTGCACCACACATTACATGTGTATTTAATTTAAAATGTTCTCATCAATGACGTCATTTTGACTTTTTATATACATACATACGTATGGAAATACAAGTACTTTAGGCTTGGTTGCGAAAAAAGTTTGTAATGATTCCCCGCAGTTTAGAATATTACTTGGGAGGATTCGAGGCCATAAAAATTATGGCCCGTGCCACGCGCTAAAAGCCGCGAAAATCGAGGTTTCTTTATAACTCTTTTATTTGCATTTGTATTTCAGAGCTCATATTGATGCAAATTATCCCCTTCGACCAGTAAACTGAATTTTCCGTTTTTATTTACCTGACTTTAAAGATTTCACAGACTAATTAAATTCACTAGAAATTTTAAAGTAACGAATTTGTTCTTGATTCTAAGGAAAGGTGAGAGTTACTTTTGTAACGAAGTATAACAGGTGGACGCCGTAGCCGAGTGGTTAAAGGTGCGAACTTCCCCACACGGTAGCTAAAATCCCTGGTACCGTAAAATCTAAAAATATAAAAAGCCATGAAAAGCTTCTCATAGTACCAATTGGAAGTTCCGATAGGGCGTGAAATTGTAGATCACTCCATTTTTGGTACAACACACCACAAATTGTTGGAGAAAAGCGACTTTGGGGCTATCGCGATATTAGAGCGAAAATTATTGATTGATGAAATGCTCACTAAGTACGCTTGCAAACTAGGAGAAGGTACATTCATACATACATACATATCTACCTAAGTCGTTTCTCCCCCGGCAATAGGTTGTTCGCTGGGCTTGGAACAAAAAGTTCACAGAGAAAAGTTTAGTTAAAAAAGCTAGATATATGTATATATTTCTCTCAACACGTGATTTCGTTATAGTTACACGATATGATTACAGTTACCAAATCTTGGGTTGAGAGAAATTTTAGCCTACTCTTTTCTGAGCGTATTGTATCTCACTACTTTATTAATTGATGTTTTAAACGACGGCAGCCTTTTTCAAAACTCTATCGTTTATTACCAGTATTACAAAGATTTAGTCAACAAAGGAATTCTACATTTTGTTCTTTATCTCCGAAGGTGGTGTGAATATCAAATAATCCACAGCCTTCTTAAAAAAAAAAACATCGAATCTGTACGTATATTTATTATCTACTAGTATCGCCCAGCTGTCGAAATTCGACATCTTTTTTTCATACGCTTTCGAATTTTACCTGTCACCAATACTAACTCCTTTATGCGAATTGCTACTTTGAAGTCCACCAGCATAATTTATAGCGAATTTACAGGAAAACATAAAATCGAATTATGAACGTTAATACCGGATTGATTAATATCTACTAATTCTACCAAGTCTAATCCAAATTTCTACAGATGTTTTTGAAATAAGAATGAAAAAGGAACCTCGAATTTCATTTATAAAAAATATGCATATGTATTTGTATGTATACAATGAGGGAAAAAACTTTTAGAATTTTAAAAAACGTGCTAAATTTAAAAAAAAACACACATATGAAAGAGCACCAACCCAACTCGCTTTAAATGTGAGTGGGTACGTTAT